AAGGATCAGACTAAAAAGGCTTTTGAAAATAATATTAGATTTTGATTTAGGTCAAAATATAATATTTGTAAACCTGAAGAGTCAGTGCCTCACCAGCCATGGACCTCACTGCAGAAGCTTATATATAGACATCCAAGTTTTTTGTGCCCCACCACTTTTGTAAATATAAAAACTAGGGCCGGGACTTTAACGCGTTAATTAAGATTAATTAATTACACAAAAATTAACGCGTTAAAAAAATTAACGCATTTTAATCGCACTTATTTTTGCACCGCGGAACGTTTCTCACTGGATGAGTTTCAGGGGTACCGATTATACTGGAGCACCAACTAACGTTCATTACTTCAGACAACAACAAACCACAGTGAACAATAGTGCTCCAGTATAATCGGTACCCCTGAAACTCATCCAGTGAGAAACGTTCCNGTGTGCCTTGGCAGTCTCAGTGGTTTCAGACAGAGGGTGAAAAGAGGTGCTGCAGCACAGGCAGTATGAGAAAAATAAAGAGCTTTTTGAACATTAAAGCATGGAGACATTTCACACTTAAAATAGACAACTATTAAGGTAATGTAAGGTGGTTGGAGCTCTTTTCATTGTATATCCAATGATTGTTTGACCATGTTGATAAGGGTTGCTGATCATGCCTGAACGTTAAAGATATTAGTTACATCAGAGCTTTCCCTTTTGCAAGTCAAATGTCTGCTGTAAAGAAATGGCCCATGTAGCAGCCACAGTGGCACTGCAGGCAGCTGTTAAAGCTCAGCCAATGAAACTGTCATGTGGCTGCTATCAGCAGGGCTCCACTTTTTATCCTGTAGGAAAAACCCTGGCATTGGGATTCCTACTGAACATTTTAGGAGCACACATTTTATGAGCACCACTTAAATCGACATGTAATGCAGCCTGTGGCGTTTTTATTAGGGCCGGGACTCGATTAAAAAAATTAATCTAATTAATTACAGGCTTTGTAATTAATTAATCGCAATTAATCGCATTTTTAATCGCATATAAATATTTGACCTGAGAACAGTGAGAAGCAATTTTTTTCACATGGATTTTAGTATACCATTGAATAATGACTGAATACATAAGCTTAAGCAACAAAACATTGTTTATTTTTTTCAAGGAGGTTCTTAACCAAGACCAACAGAAAAGTGCAATTTTTGCCATAAAGTGTAGCAATAGCATATTTAGGAATATAGTACATTTCAGAGATTCAGGTAGCCTATAGGTAGGTAGACCTTCTGTAAACTATAACACTTTGTTTTTTGTAAAACACAATACTTTCAAGTACATTCAGAACATTGGAAACCCTGACTATTAGAAAACATCTCTCTGTTGCTTCAGANAGTGTGAAATGTCTCCATGCTTTAATGTTCAAAAAGCTCTTTATTTTTCTCATACTGCCTGTGCTGCAGCACCTCTTTTCACCCTCTGTCTGAAACCAGAGCCCAGTCTGCTCTGATTGGTTAGCTGGCCGGATCTGTTGTGATTGGTCAACCGCTTATGGCGCTTTTCCACTGCAGCACGTTTTTTTTGCTTGTCCACTAGGGGTAGTTCTGCGCCATGACACAGACAGTCTGTGTTTTGTACTTGTTTAACTTTTATCTAGTTTCTGAACAGATATGAGGAGCTGTGAGCTCTGAGTGCTAACAGCTAACGGCTGATGTTGGTTTTGTGTTTCGCATTGAAGATGACGTCACGGCTCCGCCTACACTGCGTTACTCTAGTTACTGCCCCAGTACTAAACTGTAATGGAAACGCAGCATAAAGTGAGCCTGGCCTACCAAGGCCTAACCATACCGTACTAAGCCGTGCTAGGTCCTGCAGTGGAAAAGCGTCATTAGATAGGTCCTGGCCCTTAGCCTATCACGTACCTCTGGAGGGAACACAGGGATTTTAGCCTTTGCAGACCACTTACATGCACAAAACCTACACTACAGGAAAGGGGAAAACCCCCAAAAAGCATAATAGAGCCTCTATAAACTCTATTGGGTTTCTGATGTCTTTCTGACAACACCTTCTGGATTTTTTAAGGGTGCAAGTCAGGGGGTCTCGGACACTAAATACTAAATCTTCATAAGCCCAAGTCCCTCAAAAACAAACGTCTGGCTTCTGAGGACATGTGGTCACACTGTCCATGGTACATGATGTTCAGCTTCTGCAGACCACAACATTGCTCTGAGAAAGTGCCAGGTTTGTAAGTTAGAAAGGAAAGGTACTGAACCTGAGAGAATATTAAGGCATTTTATGATTGTTTCTTTATATTGAACATTTTGGTACCACTTTACAATAAGACTACCCTTATAAAGGGTTTACGAATAGTTTGCAATTCATTTATTAATTAGGTTGTGAACACTTTATAGATCATTAATAAGGTTTTATAAGACATGAGATAAACAGGGCAACTGTGACCGGTTGCTTGCCAAATAGTGAGCCCACATTTATCTGTACTGCTAAGTCTTATACTGGCTACTTAGCTTACTTCGTGTTCTTCATCAGCCAGCATCCTTGGTGTCTGTTGTTCACTGAGTTGATTCTCGCTAAGTAGCCAATATAAGGCTTAGTCATCTTGCCAAATAGTGAGCCTGTGTTGATGTATGAAAACGATGTTAGAACTGGTTTATAAATGGTTCTTAATGATTAATAAAGTGTTTACAACCTAATTCATAACCTAATTATAAACCCTTTATGAATCCTTTATAAGGGTAGTCTTATTGTAAAGTGGTACCAACATTTTAAATTGATAACTACACTTGCTTAATATCTACATGTTTTAATAGAACACACTCAACTCAACTTTGGTTTACTTAAATGTTTGTTGTTTTACATTGTTTGCATTGGCACCACATTCTTTTATTTCAGATAGCTCAAGCTTGAGAGTTTTTTCTAGAGAGCAAATAGCGTACTTGGCATAAGAAAACAGTTAAAATGACTTTTAAAACTTGGAGATCTATGTCTCCGTGTGCCTTTATCTCACATCTAAGCTTCTGTTTTGAGCCAATTATATATTGTCTCTAATGTTTTGGTTTTCATTAACTGGTATATATGTCTTTCATGGTTCAACTTTATCTACATTTTTGTTTGTTTTTCTTATCATTTACACACTCAAGGTTTCCAACATTTTGCCATGTAAATTAAAAAAAGTACTTTTTATGATACTTTTGGTGTATTCAAATATGCTTTTTAATAATAAACACATTTTCTCAAATGTGATGATATATTTTGGTTAAACATGCAAAACAAATATGTGTTTTTGCCTGAGTTTTGATCCTGTGAGTATTTCATTTTAAGATCATCTGATAAACTTAGAAAGTGAAGAGTTCTTCATTTACACTGGCGTTTTTTAATCCTAAGAAATAAGAATATTTAGATTAAACTGACTGCATAAATGAAATGGAATCAATAAACTGAATAATGGAACTGAGCAGCAGCAACAAAAGGAAATTAGTTTCAGATTGTAACAGTGTTACCTTTATGTTGGAGAACCACAGGTCGTTCTCATGCAGCGTGGCCATGTAGATACAGCACAGCAGGCCCAGACCCACAGACACAGACCAGCCCACCGATGTCCAGATAATAACCCCCCATGACCAATCACCTGCAGGAGCAGTGACAGGTCAGCGCTTCAATTACCCATTTTTGCATGAAAGAATCCTTAAACGATGAATCGATAGAGTTATTTTTTGTTGCAAGTAAAAATATATTACATTAGCTTTATACAATTCAGAAGAAGTTTAAAAATAATAGCCTGAATGTGTGTGATTGGTTGAAGAGATATGGTTCAAAGATACATACAGCTTAACCTGAACAGCTGTAGAGCTGGAATTTCACAGTTTTTTCCCCATTTCCCCAGAGACCCAGAAACAAATACATTTATTTGGTGTAAATTGAATTTGTGTCAAACAGCAAGGCTCTCATGGCTCAATTTCTAAATGTCTCTCAAATCAAATGCCACAATCGTGATCCCATAGTCATCTGGGAATTGAGCAATACTAAGTAAGAAACCTGGAGGGGGAGATAACGGAGTAACTTTTTGCAGGCTTTGTCAAAGGAGAAGGCCCATTTTCTCAGACTTTCAACCCTGTGGACTATTAGATTTTCGTTGCAGCTCTAATTTGTAAAACGTGTTGTTCGACTGCATCAGAAAATAATCGTGTTAGTACCTAAAATAAATATGGGGATAACGTTGTTCAAATATGGGGATGACGGCACACTGTTTCCCGGAACCGCGGAAAACGTTAGTTAATTATGCTTGATGTTTTACAACAGATGCAACCCAAGACTCTTTATAAGCACAATAAAGTGTGGCCAGCAGAGTGAGTTGCATTTCATCCCAACCTGACCATGAACCTCACCTCCCATTGGCTCACTCACCGTGTAATATATTCTCTGGATGATGATCGGAGCAACAGTTGGACTGCTGGGACTGAAACTCTGCACCGAGAGGGGGCTCCTTCCCCCTGCTCCCCTTCCTCTGACGCAGGGCTGTCATGATGAACAACTGCAAGCAGACAAGAGGGGGGAGTGTGTGTGTATGATGTACACGCGCAGATATGATGAAAGCATGGACAGATACACACAGGCGCGTGCACTCAACACAAACAGCACGTGTAATGTGAGCCAAAGCGAACACCGAGCTGCACCACTGTTTAGGTTTCCTTTTCCATTCAGACTGGTACCCGGGGTGGACAGGCCTGCTTACAGCGGCATTTCATGCTCACGCCGCGGCCAGAATAACGTGAAACATCAGGTCCCATCTATCGACACCGACAGTTAACCGGCAAACTACCGGAATTAAGCTGTGGTAGCCAAAGCTAAAGCAAATGTTCACTAATGAGGCACAAGTACGTAGTCTGGCACAACCATGGACACAACATAAACTACGAGAAGGTTTAGACTCCTATTGTGAAGCATACTTCGAAAGCCTTGTTATAACAATTGTGTATTTTGCATAACGGCGCGAGCCCCGCTATGGACGCCAGCTTCTGTTTGACAGCAACAAAGAAGGATAAGATGTGTGCCCGTGGTACATTTATAAGCCTCACCCTCCTGTACAGCGGCGGCAGGTAGGATGGTCCGGCAGCTCTCCTCTACCTCCCTCTCTTCCCCCTGTTTCACTGTATCTCTGTATCTCCCTCACTCTCTCATCTTCCTCTCCTCTTTTCCTCCCTCCCGTTAGAATTCATGGGTCAGCTTCAAACCGCACCGGGGTTTAAGCACGCGACAACACCGGAACACAACAGAGCCTTCCTTCAAAATAAAAGCTATCACTTTTTTTTTAAATAATTTTCATCCTAGGTATACCTCAACTATGAGAGACAAAATGAGAAAAAGAAATCCAGAAAAAACACATGATTTGGTTTTTAAAGAATTTATTTGCAAATTATGGTGGAAAATAAGTATTTGGTCCATAACAAAAGTTCATCTCAATACTTTGTTATATACCCTTTGTTGGCAATGACAGAGGTCAAACGTTTTCTGTAAGTCTTCACAAGGTTTTCACACACTGTTGCTGGTATTTTGGCCCATTCCTCCATGCAGATCTCCTCTAGAGCAGTGATGTTTTGGGGCTGTCGCTGGGCAACACGGACTTTCAACTCCCTCCAAAGATTTTCTATGGGGTTGAGATCTGGAGACTGGCTAGGCCACTCCAGGACCTTGAAATGCTTCTTACGAAGCCACTCCTTTGTTGCCCGGGCGGTGTGTTTGGGATCATTGTCATGCTGAAAGACCCAGCCACGTTTCATCTTCAATGCCCTTGCTGAAGATGAGGAAGGAGGTTGTCACTCAAAATCTCACGATACATGGCACCATTCATTCTTTCCTTTACACGGATCAGTNTATACCGGATGTAAGTGTGTTCTCCCGCGCATCGTCTTCTAACTCTTCCACCAATACCTACTAAAATGAATTCAGAAACCGGTGAAAGACAGATACAAGCTCTTGTTAACAATATGATTTTACAGTTTATATCCAATTATTGTTGGTTTTGCACTTATTTTTGTTTACCTTTACTTTTTACTACCACTACTTATACTTTATTCCCAAAAATATCCCCTGTAACATACGATAAAACTTCAAACAAGAACATAAAACCCGAACTGCACATGAACAAAGGTACCGAAATTACAAATTTTTGTACAACAAAAATAGTATGACAGACACACCTGCCTGTAATGGTATGGAGAACGAGAGACGGAGAAGTATTAATTGACAGGTTTCCCGATTACGACATTTTTATGGACTATTATTTCTAACGCACGGGAAGACGGAGGTTCTTCTCCCCTACTACGGAAAAAGTTATTACATTAAAGACAAATTCACTAGTTTAACGAGACGACCGCACCTGGGTTTACCAGTTTACGCTTTAAAGTGTCACAGGTCATCCTCAGCTGAGCCGCCGATTAGGTTTCGGTACATAGCAAAACAGGAAATTTTGGTAGTCAGTTTGGGATTGGACGTCCTTAGGTCCAATTAGGACATTATGTTCGAAAGAATGGTAATGACACACTAAAACGTCTCGATTGGAAAGACCAATTTAGAGAGAGGTGTTTTTGTTCCTTCTACACGTGAAGGATACAACAAGGTCCTGGTTTGGTTTGTTTGGTTTACCCTTAGCACTACACACGGTTATAAAGTTCAGTACGGCTTTTGTAACACTCACAAAGAGCTTCGATGTCGGTAAGTTTTACACAAGATAAAACGAAGAGACGAATACCTGCCGTAGCGATTTGGGAGCGGTTAAAATTTTTATCTCCCGGTTAAAATTTCCCACGTAATCTATGTGAATTCGTCGCGACGTAGAGAACGACCTCGTTCGACTGACGCGTCGTCTCCTCCTCTTCGCCTGCTCCTTCTCTTGTCTCCAGAGAGAAAGGAGAAGGTTGGTGTAGATATTTGTACTTTTTACGTCGTGGACGTCTCATGAGCCACGTAGACACACGTGCCGCACCATGAGGAGAAACCGTCGTAACCCTCTACACCAACACTCCGTGCCACATAACGTCAGGTAACTAGTACCACTCGCAGAGCGACAGCAATCAGAGGACCTCCCCCCGAACTGGCGTCTGGTCGTACTTGTCCTAGTGGGGGTCTGAGGTCTATAGACGTTCTGTGCGTCCTTACTTACATACTAGTGTGGTTCTTTCCGTGTGTCATAATGTTGATTCACACCTACACACTTCGTCCACCTTTATTCCATCTAAATGAGTTCAGACATGGATTATTTTTCACCACTCCTGAACATGAAAGGAACTCATCCACAGGTAAAATACTAACTGAATGTGTGGTGTTACCACATTAATTAGGTGATGTACATCATTATGGAATCAATGGAAATGTCTACACTACTTACTACACTTTATATTAGTTCACAATTTAGTATGAAATCAAGCGTGGACCTCATTTAAGTGTTCGATGGGACGTCATATGTTTCAAGTAAGGTTGATCGACGTGGAAATGGTTCGAAACTCTTGTGGAAATTTACAAAACTACGATTACTAAACATGAAAAATGAACCATTGTAAAACTTACGTCGTGAAAATGAACATTGTGTCATAAGCGATGTGAAGACGTGAAGATGGTTCATGTCCTAGACTCATGAAGATGGTTTAACCTAAAATTCCCTTCTACCTGAACTTTGTTTGTTTTTTATTCCCTTTTCTGGACTTCCACAAGACGATGACTGGATCTATTTATTAGATCTGTCTAGTAATTTACTTCGTACGTAGTATAAGTGTCTCTCTGGCAAAGATATTTTCAGCACGAAACCTGTGTAGACAAGATTGGTACCCCACTCAGAGTAGGTGTGTGGTGTGTGTGTGTGTGGTGGGGGTTGGTGGTGGTGTGTGGTGTGTGTGTGTGTGTGTGTGTGTGTGTGGTGTGTGTGTGTGTGTGTGTGTGGGTGTGTGTGTGTTGTGTGTGTGTGTGGTGTGTGTGTGTGGTGTGGTGTGTGTGTGTGTTGTGTGTTGTGGTGTGTGTGTGTGTGTGTGTTGTGTGGTGTGTGTGTGTGTGTGTGTGTGTGTGTGTGCGCAATTTAAAGTAAGGGAAGTACATTTACGAGTAAAGTACGTCGTCAATGAGAACCAGTTACTAGGCAAAAATTTCGTCTTGGAAAAGCGAGGCCACGCAAGCGACCGAGAGACCTGTCGCGCTACCAGGTGACTGTGGTAAGACGTCAGTTGGCTGAGTTCCCGTCTCTTGGCACTGTTTGTCGGAACGTCAGACAAACTCGGGGCTCCTAATGAAAATAAGACAATTATAAATGTTAGGCATGACTTCAACAAAAACAATCTATTCCGGAGGGGACATAGTTTATTGTTCTTTGGGCCACAAACAGTAATACAACTTTGGTATACAAGTCAATATATTATATTACAAGATTTCTTTTATGAAATATATAAATACTATTATATTCAGATGGGACCGAACAATATAGGAAAAGTTTACCATAGAACGTAGTAGACAATATAATAAATTTACATAAACGAATTCTAAAATCCTTACATGAACCTAAGCGTTCCTTTACTTTTTGACCCAAACTTCTAAAACTCAAAAGCACACGATAGTTTCGTCCTAATTCCCATTTATTTGATCCTCTATTTTTCGGATTAAGAAGAAAAAACGCATACGTCCCAGTAAATGTTAGAGCAAGTATTAAAATGTCCAACACAAATAAATAAAAAAATTTGGCGAAACCCCGTCGTGTTTTTCGAGATTTGCATTGTAGCCACAACACAAAGACAGTCGACCGATTACCGACTCCTCTATCAAACACCTACTATATAGCAAAATGTTGGTCGACTATCCGATTCCCGCCCTGTAGAGATTCAACAGCTGGTTAGTGGTCAAATCACATTAGAAACTTACACGGATAACGACTTCGAATGAAACGGTGATGTGAAACGAGTCAGGTGTAAACTAGTTTGGTTGACCACACTGAAAAGAGGAATTTCTAAGGACGACTAATTCGAAAAGAGACATCCGATTCCGACATTACAGTCCAAGAAGGAGTGTTAAATTATGGTTGTTTTATGAAAAAGAGACTTCTGTGTTGTTGTCTTGAACTTGTCTGGGAACGTACGTGTTGAGTTCAAACCTATAAAATTTTCTGAATAAGACGTCTTATTTTTACACACATTGATTCACCCAATTATTGACGGACCGTAGCTACTATGCAGAAGTGTATGACGTCAAAGGTCCAATGCGGACTCTAAGGGTAGTCCACCTGATTGACACGGTCAACTGACATATCGCCCCTCATAAAGAACGAGGCTCCGACTACCTCCCTCAGTTGCCACGACGCCAGCGGTGTGGTAGAATGGGGATCGGTTCCATAGGATCGTGGCGTGGGAACGAGGTAGTAATGCAACCGCAGTCGTCGCCAGGTTGTTTTGAAGAGGGCCTATTGAAATAAATAATTTGGTCATACCGGCCTGTGTAGAGACCTATTGTGGACAAAAACGCAGTGACCGGCGTAAACGTAGTGAGCTCCTTTGCGTGCGGCAGGATGAATAACCGCTGTCGAGCCTCACTTTGAGGGTATCTATGACGGGCGCAACGTAAACCTGTGGTAAAGAAGGACTCTATTGTTCTCTCGTGGAAGGAACACAACCCCTGTGCCAAGTGGGGCTCCACCTCAATTCCGTAGGACAGGACGACTAGTAATACGTTTAGGCAAGAAGTGTTTAGAAAGGATTAACACTTACTAACAATTACGTGTCTATACGAGATTTTAATACGGTATCCGGGTCCTATCATGAAACTTTAACTACTAATCCTTTCACAAAAAAATAAAGCTTCACGTCGACCACGAAGAACCTCTAATTCGTTTATGTGATAAATTGAAAGGTAATTCGACCTCTGTTTTCCTCTCTCGGTGGGCAACGTAATGTAGTCTTTCTCCTAGCACAAAGTGTCGTGACATACTCAGGTAAATAGACGAGGGTCTTCTCTGTGGGCCGACTAACACTGTTTGGACACTAAAGGAAGTTTACATACGTATTGTTCATTTCAAGTGGACGAACAACTGAATAAAGAGGTGGACTCACGATTATATTGCTATAATTCTCAATAATAAAACGTAAAATCTCGGGTTTGTTCAGTTACCTTTCTTTCTGTTTAGTAACTAACTATATTTGTTTACTATTATTTCCAGCAATACTACGTCGGTACCGACTATTACTTCGACATTTGTCTTCCTAACTACTGACAATTTTCGTGAACTGTTTCGCGGAAAGAGTCGAGAAAATCGTCAACGATGGCGATTACCGAGGAAAGACCACCGACTGCGACCAACGTTGCAAATTAAGGAGAGATAAAACCTAGTGAAAAGTAGAGTGTTAAATAAAAGTCGTGAAGGAGTTTTCCCGGTGTTGAGTAGCCGAACTCTCGCGGCCCGCCCCTGTCGGAGAAATAGAAGCATTGGTTGTGCCCCGGCCGCCGGTGTACCGAGCGAGGTCGTGTTTAGAAGTCGTGGGACGCCGACAACGTCGTCCCAATGAAAATCCGTCGCTACATTAGGGTCCGGAACAACGGAGTTCGGGGGTTTCAGTCCCTGAAGCCGGAGGCAAGTCGGACAAGGTAAATTTGGACGTGGCGACTATCTTAGCGTATTATAATGTAGGACCGACCCACCCCCATTAGGGGCGGTTAGTTTGTAGTAGTAGAGTCGACTTACTTGTTTTTCCCGTATACTTGTGTGTGTTTTTAGTGTGTGTGTGTGTGTGTGTGTGTGTGCGTGTGTCTGGTGTACAGGTGTAAGATAAAATAGTAGACCCCAGTTCAGAGTCTGTATGGATAATGTCTTGTCGACTGGCGTGTCTGTGATTTTGGATATTGCACTAGTCCATATTTTTGATATCATTTATATAAAATGTGCAGCCCTTGTAGTTGTATGATTTGCATACATCCTTCAATAAATATACTCTTTTTTTACTGTGCAAATGGCAAATAATGGACCTAATGTTCCCATATAAAATGGTAATTTCACGGACAGTTCGCTTTAATAACATGAGCACTCAAGTCAATCATGTAAATGTGCCAGATTTAGTGATATGAGTACGTATTTAAACACATTTCATTGACGAGCCATTTTGATTGCATAATAACGTTCCCCCTCTGTGTCTCCTCCAGCCTTATAGCCCGTATGCTGCAGAGGGAACCCACAAAGAGAGCGACCCTAGAGGAGATCGGGGCCCACGAATGGCTTCAAGGAGTCGACCCCTCCCCGGCCACCAAGCTGTCCACGCCTCTGGTGTCCCACCGCAGCCTGTCGGAGGAGGAGCACGGCTCCATCATCCAGCGCATGGTGCTGGGGGCCATCACAGACAGAGACACCATCACCGAGTATGTCTCTATCTCACACACACTCATAAACAATGCCTTCCTTAGAAAGTAATTAGTTACACTACTCGTTTCATTCATTTTGGATTACTCTGTAACATCACCTGAGAGCAACAAAAAGTTCAACCTAATTTAAGATCGACACAAATCCTTAATCTAATAAGGACAATTCTGCCCTCTGTTTTCTGCTCTTCATTTGAACATCCGCCATGTTTTTTTGAGCTCAGTTTCCATTGCGATATGTCCAAGTCCTCCCATTATGCATTATTACTTTGCATTTAGCTGACACTTTTATCCAAAGCGACTAAGTGCATTCGACCAACAAGATACAAACTTGAAGAAAACAGAATCATAAGTACATCAGGTTTCATAGAGCTAAAACATTTCAAGTGCTACTCAACTGGCTTTAGACAGAGAGATAGAGAGATAGTCGAAGACCTTAAAGTAACAACATAATTTCATGCTCAGTAACTGTCATGTAATTACTGCTGATCCAACAGTAACGCATTACATTACTGCGTTATACACAAATGTATTCAGATTACTATAACTTTGTACACTGCTCACAAATGCTCATGCAGCTATTCTCTCCTGTGTTATCTCAAACACTCGCCACGGTGCACAGAGATTACTGAGTGCTTTGACAGTTATAATTGCCATTAACAAGCAGCTGTCACTACTGAGATGTTGCCATGTCTATTTGAATCTCTCCCCCCGTCACTCCTTTTATTCAGGGTTTTATGTGCTGATCAGAGGTCATGTTGTGTGTCTTGGTGTGTTTTTTTTCAAATTGATTTCCCCTCTCCATCTCCTTTCCTTCTCAGGGCTCTGGAGTCGAATCAGTACAACCACATCACAGCCACCTACTTCCTGCTGGCTGAGAAGATGCTGAGGGACAAGCAGGAGAAGGAGCAGCATAACCAGACACGCTCCCCCAGCCCCAGCAAGGCCCAGTTCAGGTACACACACACACACACACACACACACACACACACACACACACACACACACACACACACACACACACACACACACACACACACACACACACACACACACACACACACACACCTTCAGATGGACAGGGTGCTGCCTCTGCATTGTTTGTGTACTCTCAGTTTGACAGCAGATGGACAGACAAAGCCTTTTTCATTCAGCAGAGAATAGAGAACGGACTGAGAATAGATGAGAATTTGCAGATCAGCAATATTGCCCGGCATGTACTACCAAAAGATATCTTGAAATAAAAGGAGAAACAGCTCCTAGTGTCCTTATTAATAAGGTTGAAGAAGAATTTTGTTATCTCTTTAGGGTTATAAGCTAGACATCTTGTTATTGTTATTCATAGAAACAAATTGGCTGCAGGATTAAAGCTAACCAGATAGCTAAGGAATGAATCTAGAACTCTAGAAAATGTACACATCATTTCCAAAATATTCCTTGGTGTTTTTCTGTCAGCATTTATTAACGACTCAAATATATCAACATGTTTTTCAGTTTAACTTACTAAACCTTGTTTTCTGTGTGTTCAACCTATCACAGGCAGTCCTGGCCAACCAGAGTGGATGTTCACCAGGATGTCAGCGATGGCTTGGGGGGTCCAACTATCTCTCTCCCCGGGGGGCCACAGTCCCCTGCCCGCAGCGCTGAGAGCCTCCACAGAGGCCCCCGGCCCAAAACAGCCCTGCTGGACCTCGGCCAGCGGCCAGCATTCGGCCAGACCCAGGAGAGGGGGCCCAGGCCTCCGGTGAATCCCCACATCAACCCCCTCAGGCTGGGCTCTCTGACCTTAGTGGGCCCTGGAAAAACTCGCAGTCCCAGTCTTTTCAGCGTGGAGGAGGATGAGGAAGAGGACGACAAACCTTCTTCCCTACCTGCTCAGGTGGTTCTTCGTGCTAAAGCTCCCTCGTCTTCTTCTGGTAATCGGCTGACATCCCGAATGAGCGCCCCTGTTCTCAACCAGATCCATGAGGAGGAGGAAGAGCAGCAGGAGAGGAGGGAGCTGCATGGATTCGGCCCGCCCAAACCCAGCCTCAGCCTCAATCTGAACCCTAGACCACCGTCCCCGACCACGCTCATATCATCGCCAAAAACGGTAACACTAAGAGCACCGGTCGCTGTTTTCACCCCCAGCGCAGAGACTAGTGACGATGAGACAGAGAGTCACCATAAACTGGATACGACGTGTGTAGATGGAGACGGGGGCGAGAGAGAGGAGAGCAAAGAGGGGGGGGAGAACCGGGAGTCCAGTCCCTCAAACTGCGCCAGTCCTGGGTCCCTGTCGGGTCAAGGCAAGGCCAAAGCAGCCAGCGGTCTGGTGGAGAGCTTGAAGCTGATGAGCCTGTGTCTGAGCTCTCAGTTCCACAACCTGACGGGGGGAGGAGGGGGGGGCGGGGAAG